GAAAAGAAGGAAGAATGCATTTTGATAGTGAATAAAGTCTGTACTTAATTTTAATTGATGGATATTTTCAAAGTAAGACATCTGGGAATAATATTATGGATTGAAATCAATCAGGTGCTCGGTGTGCATTAAATTCAGAAATTATTGGGTAAAATTTTGTTCAATATACTTTGATCAATCAAGATAATGCTTTAGCAGTCCTTGTTACATCTTGAATTTGCAGAATAAAATGCTATTGCTTTGAAGAGGTTCAGTATTGGGTTAGGAATGGCTTTTTACAAATTAGTTCAAAAGGTTTTTTTCTTCCATCCTGATTTGCCTCTATAGGGATTATTGGCTAAGACCTACAAATTATGTATGTAAGAAAGTTATGAATATGTCAAAAATGCAAATGGGCAACGGTTACTTTATTTTCTTTTTCCATTCGATCATGTCTGATTCTCAAAAGATTGGATAAGTCCCTGCAGTTTTCTTGGCAAGGTTTTCAAAAGTAGTTTCCCATTGCCTCCTTCCTAGGGCTGAGAGAAAGCGACTGGCCCAAAGTCACCCAACTGGCTTTTTGCCCAAGGCAGGACTAGAACTCACAGTTTCGTGGTTTCTAACCTGATGCCTTAACTACTAACTAGACCAAACTTGCTTTCAAGCAGTAATATAGACTTGCACAAATGATTTTCTACCTACAGGACAATTTGCCGCATAAGCTTGTATTGAGGATAAAATATATAACTAAATGCAACTCCATATTCAAGCAAAACTTGACTATTATGTGTGCATGCTCACATAATCCAAAGAAGCTGCTCCGAAAATGTTAACAAGTTCATTACTATTTTGCGGCTAATTTGTGCATAGTTCTTAGACTACTTGATATTCTTCAGAGGTATTAGGTTGTAAACACTTGTCATTTCCAATAGCCAGTAATGAAGATGGTTGGGCATTATGACAGATGTAGCTTAGTAGACTTGGAATCTACCAGAATGAAGAAATTTAATTAACTATTCTTAAGTGTCCTCTTAATTGAACAAAATTATAGCCACTAATGGGGGGAAGAGGATGGTTACATAGTAGTTTTGAAGCATATTGATAATCAGGTTCAAATATTGATTGAAAAATCTGTGTTGGGGGGCTTGTGTGGACACGGGGGGGATGGAGGTGGATGCAGATAAGAGACCAGTTGGTTTAGTGGTTAAGGCACCAGGCTAGAAAGTAGATTTTGAGTTATTATTATTATTATTATTTATTAAATTTATATACCGCCCTATCTCCCTTACGGGACTCAGGGCGGTGAACAGGCGATACTAAAAACCACGATAAATATACATAAGTATATTCTAGTCCTGGCTTAGGTATGAAAGGCAGCTGGGTGACCTTGAGTCAGACACTCTCTCTCAGTCCAACCCACCTCACCGGGTTGTTGTTGTGGGGAAAAGAGGAAGGAGTTTTATGTATGTTTGCGACCTTGAGTTATTTATAAAGTAAAAGAGGTGGGATAAAAAAATCTAATAATAATATATATACAGTATATTACTGAACTGCTTAAAAACACACATGCATTAAAGGTAAACATAATATCCTATTGCCTAAGGGTCTTGGCTCAATAGAAAAGGTAACACATCATGTCTTTCTTAAATCAAATGCATCGAGGGTGTGCATCTAAATTAGAGAAGCTTTCACGTATACCTTGTATGTACATTGTTTTCTGGATGAATAAGGACCCTGTGTTATCAGGGTCTAGGCTTATGTGGAAGCCATCTCAGTTCCATAATTGCAGACTTCACTATGAATGTGCAAGTAATTATCGCAAGTGACGACTTTTCAGTGCATTAATGGGATGAAAGATTCTGTTCTTTCCTTAGCTGGTACAACCTCTCTCTATAATATTACATGCCACTTTTGATAAGTATGGTGTAGGATTCAAGTAAATTTAAATTAATTCAGAAGACAGCAAAAAATGCCCTATCTGTCCTCTTCCACATAGGAAGGGTGGGGGTGGAGGGGATGAGGTGGGGTCTGTTATTACTCAATTAGCCAACTCCATTGTACTGTTCCCCCACTGGGGCCCCAAGCCAACTGGCAAAGCCACGTCTTTAGGACCTTACGAAAAGATAGGGTTGGGACCAACCTCAGATTGGGGGGCAAGATGTTCCAGAGGGCAGGAGCAACAGCAGACAAGGCCTTCCTCCTGGATCCCACCAGCCAGAATACTCGGGACCCACAGCATGCCTCCTCTGCCAACGAGTGCTACGTGCCAACCCCAGTGGGGGTGAGATGGTCCCTCAAGTAACCTGGATCCATGCCATGAAGGGCTTTAAAGGTGATAATCAATACCTTGAATTGCACCTAGAAGCAGACTGGCAACTAGTGCAGCTCGTGGAGCAGTGGTGTTACAGGGGCCATTCTTGGGGGATCCAAAACTATCCATGCTGCCTCACTCTGCACCAGCTGTAACTTCTAAATGCTCTTCAAGGGTAGCCCCATGTAGACTGCATTACAGTAGTCCAGCCATGAGATAACTAGGGACTGAGTGCAGGGAATCCTGCTCCAGGAAAGGCCACAACTGGCGCACAACACAAAGTTGTGCAAAGGCTCTCCTAGCTGCTTTTACCTCAGGAGTCGTGAGACCAATAGAACCCACCATGTTATAGACTGGATCTTTCTGGGCAGTGCCACCCCATCCAGAGTCAAAGATGACAAAGTCCCGGATCCAGGATCCCCACATACCAAAAGCCATTTGATCTTACCAGGGTTCAGTTGAAGCCTGTTGTCCCCTGTCAAGGCCCCCACAACCTCCAGGTGCCGTGAAAGGGCAGACACAGCATCGCGTGGGGCACCAAGAGTGGAAATATAGAGTTGGGTGTCATAATCAAGAAAATCATTAGACTTGGAGAGGATGGGAAATCATTTTTCCCCCTCACTGAGTCATACTTCATTCCACAGTGAATAGGAATGCAGTGAGTAGGAACAGAAACAAGACTCTTGTTGTTTTGGAATCTCGGAGTTTAAGGCCAGAATGCGAACTAGAGAGAACAGTGCTATTGTTTTCATTTCCAGTTGTTTATTTCTGGAATGGCTTCATTGTGGAGAGTAGTAAAACATAAGCACATAAGCAAGCTTCCGAACATTCTCATGTGATAAATAAAGTGGAAATATTTTACCAAAGGATGAGCAAAATTAATGAAGAAAACAATTCATATAGTTATGTTCATCATGAGGTGTTGATCTGTTCTGTCAGCTTGGCTTTCCACTTACAATAAAAAAAATTGTCCTGCGGTGAACATTATCTCACTTTTTCAAGCAAANACATAAGCAAGCTTCCGAACATTCTCATGTGATAAATAAAGTGGAAATATTTTACCAAAGGATGAGCAAAATTAATGAAGAAAACAATTCATATAGTTATGTTCATCATGAGGTGTTGATCTGTTCTGTCAGCTTGGCTTTCCACTTACAATAAAAAAAATTGTCCTGCGGTGAACATTATCTCACTTTTTCAAGCAAAACAGAACGCCTCATCCCATGCTTAAAGATACTGAAATAAAATTGAATATATTCATTTTATGCAAGATTGCTTCTAAGTGAAAAACATATAAATGGCAACTAGGAGAAGGATGTGTAAAATAGTCACCCAAGAGATTTTGTTGTTGATCTTGCATCCAGCTACATTTAGAATAGTATTCCTTATAATACATACTTCTTTGCTACAGTAATTCCAATAGTAATTTTTAATTATGTAGTGACTTTGAACATAGAAATGATTTACAGATAGTCCTCAACTTACAACAATTTGTTTAGTGACTGTTCAAAGTTACAACGGCATTGAAAAAGTGATTTATGATTGTTTTTTCACTCTTATGACCATTGCAACATCCCCATGGTCATGTGATCAAAATTCAGACACTTGGCAACTGACTCATATTTATTACGGTTGCAATGTCCTGGGGTCAAGTGATCAGCTTTTGCGACCTTCTGACAAGCAAAGTCAATGGGGAAGCCAAATTCACTTAATAACCATGTTATTAACTTATCAGCTGCAGCAATTTGCTTAACAACTATGGCAAGAAAGGTCATAAAATGGGGCAAAATTTACTGAACAACTGTCTTGCTTAGGAAGAGAAATTTTAGGCTCAATTATGGTCATAAGTTGAGAATTACCTGTATGCTATTTTAGATTAGTTCTTCAATGATGAGCAGCCAATAACCTTGTTAAAATTCCCAAAGGTAAAAAGTAGAAGGTGAATTCCAGTGTGGCCTAGACATTGTTGTTGTTGTTGTTGTTGTTGTTGTTGTTGTTGTTGTTGTTGTTGTTGTTGTTGTTGTTGTTGTTCTTCTTCTTCTTCTTCTTCTTCTTCTTCTTCTTCTTCTTCTTCTCCTCCTCCTCCTCCTCCTCCTCCTCCTCCTCCTCCTCCTCTTCCTCCTCCTTCCCCTTCCCCTTCCCCCCCTCCTCCTCCTCCTCAACATTTCCACTCACATCAGAGGAGTTTTGGGGGATACTGTGGAAGCTACACATGAAGAGAATTCCATTCTGCCAACTCTGTTCCAAGAGCATGAGAACACATGTGGACTCCACTTAATTATACCATAATCATGTAAGATTGTTGATTAGTTGAGTAGCAAGTTTCATACTCCTTTCTGTTGAACCATCTGAAGAAGCTAAGTATGAGCTACAGAACCCATGAGCATTTGGTATATTATTCCCATATGGCAGACATGTCAAACTCGCGACGTCATGTGACGTCGCGCACCATATTGGGACTGTTTTGCCATTGCCGGCAATGGGGTGTCCAGCAGTTTGACACCCCTGCCATATGGGATAAGGAAATGGTGTCTTGTAAACTGTTACATGGGTAGAAAAGGAGATGGTGAAGATTGGTCTATGATTTGAATGCTTGTCAAAGAATTTCACAGGGCATATTATTGTGTCACACTAATTTCCATGCATATAGACTTGTTAACATGGTTAACTATAGACTTGTTAAAGAAATTTATATTTCTTCTCTTTTTAGTTTGCTGTTTTGTGGTTCACAAGAGGTGCCATGAATTTGTTACTTTTTCTTGTCCTGGAGCTGACAAGGGACCTGACACTGATGTAAGTACATTGGATTTTTGTTATTTCATTCCTTTTGCTGTATTAGTTGTTTTGAAAAGTCCTTGGAACATTAGAATATCTTAATTTGCTCTTTTCTACATTGTGCCTTATAGATATGTTTTCTTTGGCACTGGATAACTATGCAAATTAGAGACATGTAGGAACAGGTAATGATAGAAATAAATAGACAAACAAAAATAAGGATACGGAATATAGAAAAGAGAACGCACAAAGGTTCTTCCTGGGATTTTCCTTGAAAGAGCTTCTAACAGATGTAGATCTTATCAGCAATAGCATGTTTTCTTTCAATTACAACTTTTCTTTCTATTTAATTACCTGTAGAAACTCTATCTTCTATTTATGGTTCTGGAATGCCTGATATATTGTATATGGAGGCAGTTGTCAAGTATAGGGAGTAAGTTACTTTATATGACAATATGCTCTTTACTAAATGTGTAAGAATTAGTTAGTCACATCACACAAAGTTGTAATATGGCATCCTTTGGTTTGGCTTAGCATGAAACATGAAGCCATGCATTATTTTATGTAAATTATAATTTTCAGTAAAAAAGACCATTTGATTTCCCAGAGATACATTAAGTATCCAAACTCCATTATTTTGTAGCCTCTTCAAGCATAATTGTAAAACAATTCTTAGTATGATTTCCCATTACAGCACTGCTTTTTAATTGAAGCGTATAATAATATAAAATACAAATAGAAACTGCTAATAAGGGAATAGGGAAGGGAAAAATAATGGGAAGGAAATGCAAGATAAAGAGGAAAGGGGGAAAAAAGGATCGACTTCCAACTCTTTTTGATGCAGTAAAATACAAAATACTTTTTTGTTTATACATTGAGTATATATTTACCATCTCTATAGTAACAAACTAATCTAATCATCAAAACCCCAGATCAAAGTTTTATTTTTTTCCTGTTTCAAGCATAAAGTCCAGAAGCGGTTTCCAATAGAAATAAAATTAGATACATTCTTTCTAGCCACTCTATATGGTGAATTGTCCAAAAACACACCTTTTGAACACAATACGAAATTAGGAAAGGGAATAGAATTCTAAGTTACCCTAAATTTGACTTCTGTTGCTTTTCTTCCCAGTTCAAGCCATTAATGATAGATTACTGGATCATAAATAATTCCACTTGTAGGAATGCACGCCCAGTGTTTCAAAGAAACCACAAAGTGCCTAGGTTCAAAACCTGAGAGGATGCAATTTCTTTTAGAACTTAAGAAATGTTCAGTTCTTCGGATGTGTTCAAAGAAAATATAGAAACATAGCTAGATACAGCCTATGTCTACCACTATAAAGATGAGTCAGCCACAATAAACCATCAAATTCATATAACAAGGCTTTTCTAGAATGTTAAAAGCTGTGGACACTCAGAACTCAGAAAGCAGCTTGGTGTCACATGGAGACTTCTGTTCACGAGGGAGTCAGAAATATTGTGCTTTTATGGATCTTCACTTATTTCTGAAGAGGCTTTCAGGATTTCAACACAATATTATAAATCTTTATTTTCCATCAATCCCAGGATCATTTCTTTTAAATGTCAAGTGAATTCAAAAAGTATTTACGTTGATGGCATCACAATAAGTTGGTCAAAAATTAAGCAGATTTTGTTTTTCAGTGTTGAATATTGTTCTCTGGCAGGTGACTTTATTACAGAAAACTCTTTCCAGAAGATACAGAAATATAATCTTAGAGAATTTGTTTTAAAATTTGCAGAGACATACTGGAAGAGAATAGAAAAACAATAGTTTTGTTAAAAGTTGCAATGCCATAAGATGATGATAGAATTTTTTTTGCTTATTTATTGCCAGCTTTATTATTTTTACAAATAAGGTGATGAGCATAACCAACATATCTTCCTTCTATTTTCTCCACAACAATCACCCTGTGAAGTGAGTTGGGAGAGAGAGGGAGAGAGAGAGAGAGAGAGAGAGAGAGAGAGAGAGAGAGAGAGAGAGAGAGAGAGAGAGAGAGAGAGAGAGAGAGAGAGAGAGAGAGAGAGAGAGAGAGAGAGAGAGAGAGAGAGAGAGACTGGCCCAAAGCCACCCAGCTGGCTTTCATGGCTAAGGCGGGACTAGAACTCACAGCCTCCTGCTTATGCTTATATGCTTATGCTACAGTTAATAGGATACCTCCAATTCATCAGCAGTTAATTAATGCCAGTTTTCATTTCTGAATTGGGTCAACTGCTTGCTTCCCCACTATAAGACAAGCTATTTTGTGCACAGTGTTCTCTTAGAAAATGGTATTTATAACTAAATCACATTAAAAAACTGATCTTTTCAGTCCACTCCAAGATTCCCGTTGAACAAGAAGAATCTTTAGTCTTTGAAAAATATTTGATTTGGTTATTTCTCATATTTCTAGAGCAGGGGTGTCAAACTGCCAGCCTGTGGGCCGGTTGCATCATGCGGAGGCCACGCCCACCCCAGCTCCGGCAATTTGAAAAAAGTCACGATACGTCGCGGCATATCACATGATGTGGAGAGTTTGACACCCATGTTCTAGAGCAACTATTTGTAGTTTGTTTGTTTGTTTGTCAGATTTGTACGGCTGCCCATCTCATTAAAAAATGACTCTGGGCGGCATATTACAACAATCCAGATATATAACACAATCAGCATGAAATATAAGAATTGGTATTAAAAGATAAATATTACAAAAACAAAATATATAAACCCTAGACAAAGAGAGAATAAGAGTAGCCAACTCAGCAATAGAGCCATCTAGGCGTATCTCCAGTACCCAGGGAGCCTCAGGCCTGATGATATAACCAGATCTTGAGAGACTTCTGGACAGGGCTGTGGAGTCGGTAGATAAATGTTCCGACTCCGACTCCTCAGTTTTTTGTACTTCCAACTCCGATTCCGACTCCCCGACTCCGACTCCTCTGTATTAATATGCGAATGTATTTTATACATTCCTTGAAGGAAAGAAAGGCAACATACATGTCATTACCACAGGACTACTGGCTGGGAAGCCAACAGTCTACTGTATTGAACAGTTTAAGCAAAAGACAAACACAATGAAAACAACAAAGTTTTATTAATTTTTTTATTAATTTAATTAATCAAGTGGCTGGATAGTAGCAGCAGGCATAAACATCAGNATGTAGAGTTCTAAGGAAGAGAATTGCCTCTGCCAGATCCTCTTTCATAGAGGCTCTTAAGTCAGACTTTATTATTTTTAGGGCTGAAAATAATCTTTCGACACTGACTTGGGTGGGTGGCATTGCAGTAACTATTCTGCAGGAGTCGGAGTCGGTGCATTGTTTGCCGACTCCGACTCCAGGTACCCAAAATTTCCTCCGACTCCTCGACTCCGACTCCACAGCCCTGCTTCTGGAATATCAAAAGGGATGGAGATGATCTAATTTCAGGGGGAAGAATACTCCATTAGGGTCATTGCACCATGACAGAGAAGTCATGTCTCCTGGGACCCATCTAGATGTAGATCCTTAGCTGATGGTATCTGCAGCATGCCATCTCTTCTTGCAGGAAATTTGAGGCTCTGCAAGTATTTTTGCAAGATTATATTGTTTATTTGTTAGCTTGTGTCCCTTTTGATAAGAAGTATATTCTCCAGGTTGGCTCAGCTTTCCTTTGTTCCTTGCATAATCTGATGTAAAAAGCTGCCTTGAACTATGAGTTATGTGGCTAATTAAAATTTATATATTATTTATACATTTAACAGATTTATATGGCTGCCCACATCACATTTAGATGACTTCAGGCGGCGTACAATGTTTAAAAATCCATAACATAAAAACCCACAAACATTCCACCTTATCCCATCCTCTGTGGCAGCAACAACACAATCAAATTAACTACTTCATCGATTGCATCTCCATTCGGGGTCCCTAGGCCCATTGACAAAACCATATTTTTATGGTCTTTTTTTTTTAAAAAAGCAACAGGGTGGGAGCTGACCATACCTCAGTGGGAGTGGTATTCCACAGAGTAAGGACTACCATCAACATTAAATTTAAATTAAAAAATAAAAAGGTTAAATTTTTCACTAAACAGTTACTAGATTGTAAGTGGCTTTTAATTGTTTTATGACTGTTGGCTGCTCAGAGTCCCTTGTCTGAAAGGGACAGCTAAAGAAATTGACTGAATCAATAAAAAAAAAATAAACATGGTAAAAATTAATTCCATTATTTTAGAATGCTACTGTACCTCTGTTTCCTTGACATCACATGGTTTCATTTCAGATACCATGTTTCCCCAAAAATAAGACTGGGTATTATTATTATTTTTGGACCAAAAGACCCATTAGGGTTTATTTTGGAGGGAATGTCTTATTTTGCGGCCACTCGCTGACTCTATCCCACCATCCGGTTGCTCGCAGCTGCAGTGGGGCAGGAGAGAGCACATTGCACCAGTGCCACTGCCATGAGGTGAGGCGAGGCAGGTTGGGGTGGAGCTACCCCTCGCACCCCACACCCACTTACCTCAAGGCCCAAGCAGCCAGGCCACCCATGCCCCGTCAACTGCCTCACCTCATGGCGGTGTCACCGGCAGCAGCAGCTCCATCCAGCAGGAGCCCATATGGCCCCCGGCCCACTTGTCTGGTTGCTCACAGTTGCAATGGGGCAGGAGAACATGCGTCACACTGGTGCCACCCCCATGAGGTGAGGCGAGGCAGGTGGGAGGTGGAGTTGCCCCACGTGCCCTACACCTGCTTACCTCAGGGTCCCAGCAGCCAGACCACTTCCTGCTTGGCGACCTCCCCCAACTCGTTCTATGACCTGGCTACCTGCCTGCCTCTTCCTTTTCATTTCTCTCTCAAGCTGGACTACCATGCTATGAAGGATGGGCAGGGGAGGCTCAGTCGCCTTACATGGTCCCCCTCTGCCATTTCTGAGCCAGGTGGGGTGATGGTCAAAGGCCTCTGCCACCACTGCACATCAGCCATGTCCGCACTGGAAGGGCTTTCTTTGGTCTCTATTGGCCCTGCCCCACCCTGCAAATC